TCCAATGGGAATCATTCCAGAAATAAGAGTAATGGCATTTTCCAGAGTTCCTTCTATCCCATCAGTATGTGGGTGAGATGTTGATTTGTTGAAGAGAAGAATGATTGATGTAAAAGGATCGTATCAATTATTATTGGATTGTTACATTGAATTATAACCTAAAGAAAACCCATGACTATCATGATTACCTTGACACTAATGTTTTGAATGCAGTTTTTATCTCTTCATTTCTCAAGCTGTAAATGATGGGATTCAGGCTTGGTGTCACTACTGTATAGAGCAGGGCAAGGATCCTGTTATCATCCACAGAAGATTCTGAATTGGGATGAATGTAGGTAACAATGATGGTTCCAAAGAAAATGAAAACAACAATGAGATGTGAGGAACAAGTGGAAAATGCTTTATGCCTGTTCGTGGCCACTGGCATTGTGAGAATAGTGGAGATGATGAGAATGTAGGAAAAGACGATGAGTAAAAGGGGAACCAAGCCAAATACCACAGTCAGTGTGGCATTGGCCACTTCATTTTTGTAAGTATTGATGGAAGTCAGTGTCAGAACAGGCATAAGATCACAGAAAAAATGGCTGATTCTGTTTGACCCACAGAAGGGAAGGGTGAAGATTGAAATAGATTCCCCTAAACACACGGAAATTCCAAAGATCCATGAGATGGCAGCTAGTTTCACACATTTCTTGTAGTTCATGATACAGGGGTATTGCAAGGGCTTGCAAATGGCAACATAACGGTCATACGCCATAGCACAAAGAAGACAACATTCAGTAACACTAAAGAGAAGGAAGAAGCACATTTGACATCCACAGCCCCAAAAGGATATAGTTTGGTTCTCTGATAACAAATTTACCAGCATTTTTGGGCTGATGGATGAGGTGTAGCCAATTTCCAGAAAGGACAAGTTCCACAGGAAGAAGTACATTGGGGTATGAAGTGTGGGACTAGAAATGGTGAGGATCAAAACTAGGCTATTGCCTATCAAGGCCATGAGGTAAAATATTAGGACCAGACAAAACAGAAGTTCTTCCATAGACTTGAAATCTGAGAAGCCGAGCAGGAGAAACTCAGTCAAACAGGATTGGTTGTCTTTTTTCATGGTATCATACACATAGTAACCTCAAAAAAGAAAGGGAACATTGAATAATTAAACAATTCTTCTAAAGAATTATTAAAATGATATTCCTTTCTCCAACTAGATACCTGTATTCTGCTTTCTTTGTATTACTGAGAAATAGTAATATGGATTAAATCCTTGGAAATAGGAAAGGAAGCATGAAATTTTAATTTACTGTCCTGTAAATTTAATTGTGATTATATCACCTTAGTGAATCACACAATCATTCTAGGATCTTTCCCCAAAACTGAATTGTCCTCAAGCTCTCAGTTTGGTCCCTCAAGTCTATGTTCATTTTTTTAATTGGTTGGCCTACCATATGATAGTTTCTATTACCAATTTAGGGATTTTTTTTAAAATCATGAAAATTCAGACAGAATCATAAATATTTTTACACATTTCCTTTGAAATACATCCTCTCTATATCTGAAAATTTGCACTAGTATTCCAAATAGGAGTCACTTCAGATTTTATTCCACTAGTCATTGCAGTCTCTAGGGAGCAGTATCCCTAGTATCATCTCCGTTTCAAGACCGTTGAGCCAGCGCTATCCGAAAACTTTCCAGCATGGTGTCACAGTGTGCGGTTACCTTCCCACGGAAGTAGTACGTATTTATCTACTTGCCTTTGCATGCATTCGAACTGCTAAGTGGACAGGAGCTGGAGCAAGTAACGGGAGCTCACCCCGTTGTATGGCACTCAGGTCTCGAACCCGGGCTGCCAGCTTTACAGCCAATAAGCTCAGCATCTTTAAATGCTGGACCACTGCACCACTCCAGGTAGTCCAACTAGTAAATCAAAAATGCTAATGGGTGAAGATATCAGGCTAGAAATAAGGAAACCAGGAGTTCTACTTCCTCCCAAGACACAAAGGCAGCTGAGTGACCTTGAGCCTGTCATTTTCTCTCAGCTTTAGGAAAGAGACAAGGGCAAACCACTTCTGAAAAATCTTGCAAAGACAACTGAAGAGATTAGTCCAGGAAGTGTCTGGGAATCAGATAGGATTGAACGGAAGGAGGAAAAAAAATAGGGGAAGGATTGGAGATTGGAGAAAAGTGGCTTAGATCAAAGGAAGCTTAATTTCCCATTATATGTAATTTGGTTCCATTATATACCACCAATGATCAGCTATTCCTGTTACATGTTGAATGGCCTTTTCCATTTAGACAGAGCATCAAAATGGCTCAAAAGACTTAAATGTTAAAGCATAAGTGAAAAGCTGACAATAAAACACTCTTAATGTTCCACTGAATATCCTCTGAAAATAAAACATCTTCTCATATAGTTGCATAACGTGAGAATCAAAGTATGAAACATGATCTTACTTTGTTAATCCTTTTCTGATTATTTTTAGAGAGGTAGGAGGCTTCTTCTTAACACAAGCCTGAAATTCTGTAATATTCGCTGAAGATCCTGAATATTCCTCTACAATAGAAGAATCTCCATATAATCTTTCCTCTAGAAAAATAAATGTTTAATGTTACAGAGGCTGTTTACATAAACTCACTTCAAAGACTCTGAAGGAGCCATGGACTCCTGGAGGATCCAAAACTCCAGAGACACTGGAGGACTTTTTCTCTAACAAGGTCTCATATGACAGAAGCCCAAGGCTCATCCTGAGGATTTGGTAAAAGAATATCGGACCACAACTTGGAAATAACTTTATTATTTCAGGAGAAATAACTTTTTTGTCTTCCCGAAAGCCTTAAAAACCTACCGTGTTTTTCGGAGTATAAGACGCATCTTTTTCCCCCCTAAAAGGGGGTGAAAATTTAGGTGTGTCTTATACACCAAATGTAGCCTGCCCACCCATTGGCCCCCATCCTTTGGCCTCTGCCTCGCAGCAGTGACTTCCTTGCAAACAAACAGCAAAAAGAAACAGCTCCTTTCAGCTTCAGCACAGACTAATTAGCACAAGTTGATTGGATCGGCCTCCCGACTCTCAGCTGATTTGCTCTCAGCTGTTTTGCACAGGGCTCTGCTGCTTGCTGCAAAAAGGTAAATTGCTGGAGCAGATTTTTTTTTCCTTGTGCTAATCAAGCTATGCTGAAAACGAAAATGAAAGTAAAGCAGGCTGTTTGCTATTTGCTGCAACGAGGCAAAATTGCTCAGAGGCAGAGGGAGATTTCTTTTTCTTCTTTTCCTCACCAAAAAAGGTAGGGGTGTCTTATACTCCGGTGCGTCTTATACTCCGAAAAATACGGTAATTCTTCCCTCAATCCTAGGGGCAGGATCAGTGGTGGGATTCAAATAATATAACAACCGGTTCTCTGATCTAATGATGTGGATCAGGCGGTGGTCAGAGGGTGCAACAGACAGCACTCAGCCTCCTGCACACCGCTGGGAGCGAAAACAAGCCACGGGAGGGGGACACCTCGCCCCCTGTGCCCCATTTTGAGCCTAGTAGGCCTCCCTGCAGCCTCCTGGGAGCAAAAAGGGGGCATGCCACACATACACACCCCACGCCAGGGGTGAGTTCTAAAATTTTTTACTACCGGTTCTGTGAGCGTGGCTTATTTTGTGGGCGTGGCTTGATGGTCATGTGACAATTATTTAGGATTTAGCAGAGGTACTGGTCTACCAGGCTTTTAACTGCTTGCAGAGCTGTACCGATCTACCCATTTATTTTTTGCAGGCACTGGTCTACCCATTTATTTTTGCAGGCACTGCTCTACTCATGTATTTTTTGCAGGCACTGATCTACTCATGTATTTTTGCAGGCACTGGTCTACTCATTTGTTTTCTTTTACCACTGATCAGCTCTAGGGTGGCCCTTTGAAGCCCCGCGGCAAGCGTTTAAACAGTTTTTTTCCCTCTAGCCATCACCTGGGACTCAGGAGGCAGCAATAGATTGGGGGTGGGGCCAAATAAAAGGTAAGAATAACGCAGGGGGTGGGGGCGGGGGGGGCAGAACCACCACTGCCCCACACCCTGTTTTGGGCCTAGTATGCCTCCCTGCACTTAAACCTGGGAGCCAAAAACAAGTCACAGGGGGGTATGCTGCAGCCCCTTGTGCCCCGTTTTCGGCCTAGTAGGCCTACCTGCAGCCTCCTGGAAGCAAAAATGGGCCACAGCAGAAGCCGCATCGCACACACACCCCTGTGCCCCATTTTGGGCCTAGTAGGCCTCCCTGCAGCCTCCTGGTAGCAAAAACGGGCCATGGGGGGATGCACCGCACACACACACCCCTGTGCCCCATTTTGGGCCTAGTAGAAAGTCCAATTTGGGCCTAGTAGGCCCAAAACAAGGAATTTCCATAGACACCTACCGGTAGCTTATGATGCCAAAGGTATAAAAATCTTCCATTCTGCAAAATTGCAAAATGAAAGAAACCTAAGTGTATCACTCAAAGAATATAAGAAGCCAGATTCCTTGCTCACTGCCATGTAATAATTTCTGTTACTCTTTCAGGGTTTCTATAAATAATGAAAATTCAAGTACAAACATTTTTACACATTTCCTTTAAAATGCATTCCTTCAACATTGGCCCTTTGAAGCCCCGTGGCAAGCGTTTAAACAGTTTTTTTCCCTCTAGCCATCAGCTGGGACTCAGGAGGCAGCAATAGATGGGGGTGGGGCCAAATAAAAGGTAAGAATAACTCAGGGGTGGGGGCGGGGGGGCAGAACCGGTTCGGTGATGTCATATCGTCACCGCTACCGGCTCGGGAGAACCGGGCCGAACTGGGAGGAACCCACCACTGCCCCATGCCCTGTTTTGGGCCTAGTATGCCTCCCTGCACTTAAACCTGGGAGTCAAAAACAAGTCACAGGGGGGTATGCCGCACCCCCTTGTGCCCCATTTTGGGCCTAGTAGGCCTACCTGCAGCCTCCTGGAAGCAAAAATGGGCCACAGCAGAAGCCGCATCGCACACACACCCCTGCACCCCATTTTGAGCCAGTAGGCTTCCCTGCAGCCTCCTGGTAGCAAAAACGGGCCATGGGGGATGCACCACACACACACACTCCTGTGCCCCATTTTGGGCCTAGTAGGCCTCCCTGCAGCCTCCTGGTAGCAAAAACGGGCCATGGGGGGATGCACCGCACACACACACCCCTGTGCCCATTTTGGGCCTAGTAGGCCCAAAACAAAGAAAGTCCAATTTGGGCCTAGTAGGCCCAAAACAAAGAATTTCCATAGACACCTACCGATAGCTTATGATGCCAAAGGTATAAAAATCTTCCATTCTGCAAAATTGCAAAATGAAAGAAACTAAGTGTATCACTCAAAGAAGAATAATCACACTATCCCTTCAAACAATGTTATTCTGAATGTTTAATGAAAGATAAATAATTGAAGGAGATAGAATATAAGAAGCCAGATTCCTTGCTCACTGTGACTGAGGTATTTCCTTACCAAGAGAAGAATTCAGAAGAAAGGAAATAACAGGCAAGATTCATTTGATGATGGGTTTTGGAATCATAGCACTGAGATTTTAATCTGATTGACAATTTCTTCTTTTTAAGAATGGGGTTACCCCTAAAAAAGAAGAAATTGTAATCAGATTAATGAAGTTTCCCCTCAAGTCTGGTGGGTTTTAATCCAGAAAAAAATTCTTAATGGAATGGTTTATTATAATTCATTTTTTATTCTGATTTTCTTGTATATATCAAAAAGAAGAATATGACCTAAGCCCAATAATATGATAGAGACAAGGTTTAGAATGCATCAGAAATATTTTGTAGATTCAAACTCGCCCCCAAAATGAAGGGGATCAACAGGCAATTCACCTTGTCAAAAAAAGAAAAAGATATATTTATACTCCTTGCATGGTAATTTTGCTTGCTGTTAGTGTTAACTCCTTAAAATCATGACATTACTGACTTAAAGGAAGACAATTCTACACAAGGTCATCATAAGTGTCAAGATCTCCTTCCAGTTAGTAGCTGCTTCCTGGTTAAGTAGTTTCACTGGGTTTTTCAACTCTTCTCTACAGAATCTTTCCCCTAAAGTCCATCCATTTACCAAATTCCCAATATTAGTCCTCGGGCTTCTCTCAGGAGATCTTGTTAGAGAACAAAATTCTCTCCTGTGTCTAAAATTTCTAGATCCTCTAGGAGTCAACTGTTTTTAAAAGCGTCTTCACAGTCTTTGATGCTGGCTGACACAAAATGTCTGCATATATGAAACACATTTTTCCAGAAAAAAGGGATAGATGAAGAGTCATGTATGGCACGGAAATTTTTGAGACTTTGAATCACCAGTGCATATTAGTACATCTCCAGTTTTTCAGAAGGCAAAATATTCCTTCATCTTTGTAAAGCTATCAGAAAAAAAATTCAAAAGTAAGATTTAATAGATTAATACATACTACTTTCCCTAAGGTCATATTTGTTGGGTTGGTTATTCCTGTTGGACAACATATTTGAAAATTTTATTGATCTAATTGACTAACAGCAATATAAGGAAACAGGATCTAGAGTTCAAGGATAACAAGCCTATTTCCTTGTTAGGATTTGTTTGATTCTTTATTTAATGATCCTCTTGTGTTCTCAGGCTTCCATCTGGATGATACCATGAAAAAAGACAACCAATCCTGTTTGCACGAGATTGTCCTTCTAGGCTTCTCAGATTTCCAGTCTATGCGAGAGCTTCTCTTTTGCCTGGTTGTAATGTTCTACTTCATGACTTTGATGGGCAACAGTCTGATTTTGATCCTCATCATTCTCAATCCCACCCTTCACACCCCAATGTACTTCTTCCTCTGGAACTTGTCCTTTTTGGAAATTGGCTACACCTCCACCATCAGTCCAAAGATGCTAGTGGACATATTATCAGACAACCAGACTATATCCTTTTGGGGCTGTGGGTGTCAAATGTGTTTCTTCATACTCTTTGGTCTCACTGAATGTTGTCTTCTTTGTGTCATGTCGTATGACCGCTATGTTGCCATTTGCAAACCCTTGCAATACCCATATATCATGAAATACAGGAAGTGCGCTAAACTTGCTGCTGTATCATGGGTCATTGGTGTTTTTGTGAGTTTGGGACAATCTGTTTCCATCTTCACCCTCCCTTTCTGTGGATCAAATAGAATCAGCCATTTTTTCTGTGACATTAAGCATGTTCTAAAATTGGCTTCCACCGATACCTATAAGGATGAACTAGCCATTGCCATAATAGTTGCCCTAATTATCTTGACACCGCTTTTGCTCATCCTTTTTTCCTATATCCTCATCCTCTCCACTATTTTCAACATTCCTGGGGCCAAAAACAGGCGCAAAGCATTTTCCACTTGTTTCTCACATCTCACTGTGGTCTGCATTTTCTACGGAACTGCCATTGTTACCTACATTCATCCCAACTCAGAATATTCCATGGACAGTAGCAGGTTCCTTGGCCTGCTCTACACAGTGGTGACCCCAAGCCTGAATCCCCTCATTTATAGCTTGAGGAATAAAGAGATAAAAGCTGCTTTCAAGAAATCTGTAGGCAGGAAACAGGTTTCCTTTATGGAATAATCTTAGTATATTCAGGTATAATCTCTTCAAAACAATGAGGTTATTGTGCACATATTTATGGGTTACAACAGAATAATAGAATAATAGAGTTGGAAGAGACTTTGGAAGTCTTCTAGTCCAACCCCCTGCTTAGGCAGGATATCCTACATCCCTTCAGGCAAATAGTTATCCAGACTCTTTTTTAAAAACTTCCAGTGTTGGAGCATTTACAATTTCTCCTTAGTTCTAAATTGCATCTCTCCTTGATTAGTTTCCACCCATTGCTTCTTGTTCTACCCTCAGGTGCTTTGGAGAATAGCCTGACTGACTCCCTCTTCTTTGTGGCAACCCCTGAGATATTGGAACACTGCTATCATGTTGCCCCTAGTCCTTCTTTTTCATTAAACTAGACATACCCAATTCCAGCAACCGTTTTTAGCCTCCAATCCCCTAATCTACTTCTGAGAATACCAGTGGTAGATTACACCCTTTAGAGCAGAATGATCCAGAGGTGGGATAGATTTATTCAAAGAAATGGAGAGTACTGAAAGGTAATCTAAGTTCCTTATTGTAGTAGAATTCAAATAAAAGATTGATTGCCCATCTGCCCAGAACATCTACAAAAGGGGGGCTGCAAAAGAATGGACATAAAAAAATGATTTCAAGAAGGCATTCTCAAAGAGATTGATCTTCTTTATGTAATAATCCAAGAATGTTTTCATCCCTTAATCAGATTGCAGTTCTTGTGCTCATGTTATGGGTAAAAATAAAATCCAGAAGATGCTGAGAGTAGATGTTTCCCTTCCACCCTGCATTACCCAGAGTTGGAGATAATTTATTTCAAGAAGGTAAGAACCCTGACCAGAAACCTAAATCTTTTATTCTGGTAAAACAAGTAAATGATTGAACAGCCATTTCCTTACAAAGAAGACTACCAGGTTTAACAGTAACAGAGTTGGAAGGGACCTTGGAGGTCATTTAGTCCAACCCCCTGCTCATGCTGGAGACCTGTACTAGGGATTCAAACCACTAAACTGCCGACCTTTCTGATCATCAAGCTCAGTGCTTAGCCACTGAGCCACCTAGTCAGCTAAGTAGTTGAAGGAATATGGGGAAAAATGGGTGATGAAAGAAAAAAAAAGTAATGTGTGGAGGAAGAAAGATCAGGTTAGAGCAAGGCAAATCAGACAGGTTAGGAGAAGAGGCTGAGCTGGAAGGCAGACTTAAATATGTCCTGAGTTTAGAATCATTACTTTGTCATAAAAAAACTAAGTCAAGTACCCTGAAAATTCCATTGAACCTTATCTATCGCCAATTTAGCTTTGACCTTTAGTTGAGTAGATTCTGGTATTAGACGTATTAACAATAAACTCTTCTGTGCTTTGAGCTCAACAAATGCTCCTGGTTACTTGTGCCTGACGACAGATTCCTTGAGAGAACAATGTATGGGCATCAACCATATCCCCTGCTGATGAATGGAGGGCTTTGGATCTGTGATTTCTTAGGGTTGTGTTTGAACCAGGGGGCTTGATACAAGCACTTTGAAATGTAGATCGATTTACTGACAGCTCTGGATTTGATAAATATCAACATAGTATAATAAGCTAGGTTCCTTTCTCCTTCTGACTTATCAAGAGAAGAATTCAGAGGACAGAAAATAAAAATAGAAGACCCACTTGTGATGAGTTTTAGAATGGTAGCACTGAGTTTTTCTGGTACGTCAATTTAACCCACTAAAGAGAAGATACTAAGACTCATCAGATGAATGAAGTTTCCCCTCAAGGCCGATTGTTTCTAATCCAAAAAGAAACTGTTGACAGTTTATTTTAATTCATTTATTGTGATTTACATATACAGGTAATCCTTGAGTTACGACAGTTCTCTTAGCAACCATTTGAAGTTATGACATCATTTGATCCAAGTATTTACTTTTTTTTTTTTTTTTTTTTTTTTAGGGCACAACATTCAATTGGCAAACTGGGAGAAATTGTAGAAACAGAACATCAAAATGACAAGAGCCATACCCTATAAAGAAAATCTCATAAAAATGTTTTACAGATGGCACTTAGCACCAGCCAGATTAACCAAAATATACCCGAATGCCTCCCCACACTGTTGGAAATACAAAACAAAAAAGGGGACATACTACCACGCCTGGTGGAAATGTATAAAGACCCAACAATACTGGAAGGACATAAAGGAAATTATTGAAGAAATAATAAATCAACAAGTAAAACACACTCCAGAATTCTTTTTATTTGGAATGGTAACAACACAACACAACAAAGAGACAAAATATCTCATCATACACATTCTGACAGCAGCACGGTTACTGTTCGCGCAAAATTGGAAATCAGACCAAAGACAAATTAATCTCAAAGATAACAGAGTGTGCCGAAATGGATAGATTGACACTGGAACTCCAGGATAAGGAAGAAAGTGAATACTATCTTGTGTGGCACCAGTGGTATCAATGGCTGGAAAAGAAAATCAGTACAAATATAGATGAAAGAAAATAGGGTAGAAAATTTAAAATTGGAAATGAATAAAGAGGAGATGCAAGATTATTTCTAATTTAAAACACCTGAATTGACAATGTATCATTCATATATTAATTTACAAAGCAATATATATTCTGATGATGACCAAAACATATATGTAAAATATGGTGTGGGTAGGTAGGTGGTGGGAATCTGTTTGTCTTTGTAATGTCTTCGTATTCTTTGTATTGTCTTTATATCTTTGTTTAAAATCCAATAAAAAAAATGATCCAAGTATTTACAACACAATCCCGAGGTTACGAATGTTGCAGCCCCATAGCAGTCGTTCAGCCTAACAAATGACTGAAGAGGCACTGCAACATTCACCCTGACTATTTCCGCCCCCCTTCCTCCGGACTCACTTACCGTGCAAAGATCTAGCAAGCTGTGTTCTCTCCAGTCTCTCTGCCATGGTTTTTTTTTTCCTTGCGTCCCTGCAGGCTCTGATTATCTTTGCAAAAAGCTTTTGACAGGAAGAACGGAGGCCGGGAATTGCATGTGTGCCCCTCCTGGCCTCCGTCCTTCATGCCAAAAACTTTTTGCAAAGACGATTGGAGCCTGCCAGGACGTAATCATTCACCTCTGCAGGCTTTGGCCAGCTTTCCTCAAGGCCTTTTCTCCCTCCCTGCTTCCTTCCTTTGGGCCAAAAGCTTTTTGCAAAGATGATCAGGGCTCTGCAGTCTTCTTTTATGGAATAATTCTAGTAGATCCCAAGGTTTGATCTCTTCAATACAATGTGGTTCAGGGTTGGGTTCCACTTATCTTATATTGTTTGCAGCAGGAGTGTGTGTGTGCTTCATATAATATAATTGTTTGCAGCAGGAGTGTGCGTGCGCTTCATATAATACAATAAATTAATATAATAAAATCACCCCCTGCTCCAGCGACAGCACCTCACATGAGCCATTTAATGGGCTCCACCCCGCTCTGGGTTCCCCAGGCCCGCTGGCAGAACCAGGTCTTCAGAAGAGTGTTAGAGTGGGGGCCATTCTAATCTCTGGAGGGGATGATGTTACAGAGAGAGGGGGCCACCACAGAGAAGGAATTCCTATTAGAGCCATCCAGTAGGCAAGTGTCAGAAAATCTTGGAAATTGTAAATGAAAATGTTATTCGCTCTAATCTTGATTGTAGGAAATATGACTTCTGCAATAGAGTAGTAAATGTCTGGAACATTCTGTCTGATCCTGTTGTTAGTCTCGCTAATCCCCATACCTTTTACCTTAAACTGTCTACCGTGGACCTTCATGTTTCTTAAGAGCAGTGGTAGGCTGCTCCCGGTTCGGACCGGTTTTACTACAAGAACCGGTAGTAAAACTGGCCTGAGGTCCCGCTCACTGCCCCAGATGTTGTCATCGGCAATCTGCGCATGCGCAGCAGCTTCTGCACATGTGCAGAAGCAAGGCGCGTGCACGAGCGAAGCGAGCGCGCGTGTGCGATCCCATTGCGAACCGGTAGTAAACGTAAGTAGAACCCACCCCTGCTTAAGAGGTCCCTAAGGGGGCATGCATAAGCGCACCAGCATGCCTACCGTCCCTGTCCTACTATCCCCATTTATATGCAATCATTCTATGTGTTTATGGCTCTGTTTTGTCTATTTATATCCTTTTATTTGTGCCAATTTTTTTCATGTGTCCATGTCTATGTTTATACTGTTACTTGTTTCCTTGTACTTGCTGATAAATAAATAAATAACAATAATAATAATAATAATAATAATAATAATAATAATAATTAAATTAAATTAAATTAAATTAAATTAAATTAAATTAATACATAAAATAGTCAGCATCTGAGGGCACAGGGTTTTCTAACTCTGATGTCAGTAATCCTTTTAACCAGGTCAAATGTTTCCCCTGATATTAAGCTATGAAATGCCCAGTATGAAATCTCAAGCTTCTATCAGGAGACCTTTTTAGTGAAAAGACTTAAGTATCTCAAAAATTTATGATCCTGCAGGAGTCAAGTTAAAGTCTCCATAGTCTTTGATGTTGGAGGCTGCAAAAAGCTTACATATAGGAGATATTTGTTTCCAGAGGAAGGATTATATGGCTTTATCTTTATAGTAGTCAGTGAATGTTAAAGCATTTCACAAGAAAAAATATCCTATCTTTCTAAAAATATCAGAAAGCAATACAAAAGTAAGATCAACATCTCGTTGTTTACCTAAGGTAAATGTTTGGTGGATTGGTTTAATTGTTCTAATTCAGGGGTGGGTTCTATTTACCTTTGCTACTGGTTCACAATGGCATCGCACGCACGCACTCACTTCGCTTGTGCACGCACCTTGCGCACCTTGCTTCTGCACATGCACAGATCGCTTTTAATGACATCAGGGTCAGTGGGCGGATCCTCCCGCTGGTTTTACTACCGGTTCTATAGAACTGGTCCAAACCGGGGGCAATCCACCACTGTTCTAATTGTCAGGAAATTTCTATTTAGTTCTAGGTTGGTTGTCTCCTTTGATAGTTTCTATCCATTGCTTCTTGCCCTGCCTTCAGATGCTTTGGAAAATAGCTTGACCCCCTCTTCTTTGTGGCAACCCCTCAATATTGGAACACTGCTATCATGTCACCCCTAGTCCTTGTTTTCACTAGACTAGACATACCCAATTCCTCCCATTGTTCTTCATACGTTTTAGTCTTCAGTCCCCTAATCGTCTTTGTTGCTCTTCTCTGCACTCTTTCTAGAGTCTCAACATCGTTTTAGATTGTGGTGTGTAACAATATTATAAGATATGGGATTTATTTTATCAATGGCTAGATAATAAAACATGGAAATGAAATATGAAATGAATGTTATAATATAATATTTGAAAATAATTTTTATGAAACGATAAAGCCATATTTAAATAAATGACAAATGAGGATATTTATTAGTCTGATAATATGAGGAAGTAGACAATTTGTAAATTATGAATATGGGATTCATAACCGACCGTATATTTGAGCTCAATCTTTTCCCCTCAATTGTCAAGTGTGGTTTGGACCTTATTTTTATGGTTGTGTCATTGTTATAAAATGAGAAATATTATATCACTGGCCACCAGTATTATAATTTTACATTGGGACTTCCGGGGTCAAGGACCAAAGACATCGCATATTATGATTTAGCAATTTAACCTAAATTTTACTCTTTTGTTATCTTCTAACTTTATTTTCTGTTCTTCTCTGAGGAAACTGTATTGTTGTCTTTATTGTAAATACAATGTAAAATGAACTGAGAAATGGAACTGATAATGTTCTAACTTGCCACACTTCACTCCCCAGGGTATGAGTACGTCATATTTTGTGTTCTTTCCTTTCTACAAAAATCATGTAGTAAACAACTATTTCAAAGCTATCTTACACTTTATTCCTTGATGCATCAGGTTAATACTGTTCATGCAATACCCCTTGGTTTGGTTTTGTTATCATTCAATGAGATTTAAAAATATGATGCATGGACTCTTTTAAAATGGTTAATTCCTTTAAAGATAACCAATCAACTAGATATATGTAAGCATATATTTATAGCTTGTCACCTTTTGGAGACAAGGTCACATGGAACTTTTGTGATGTGTGAAGAATAATATTGTGGGGGGATGAGATTTGAACAAAGGAAACTGGAACAAAAAATGAACATATCCGGGGGGGGGGGATTACCTCACTGCTTTTTAAAAAATCCTTTTATTCACCCTCCCTTATAGCGTTAAAATCCCTTACAGGCAGTCCTCAATTTACAACTACAATTGGGACCAGAAATCTGATTGTAAGTTGTTGCAGTCATAAATTGAGGCACTCATGTGACCAGATGTGTTTTTCTGACATTTGTGTGTGTGTGTGAGAGAGACAGTCATTAACAGGGTTGCCAGGTAGCGGACAATTAAATTATATATTTTCTTACAAACATTTTAACACGTATTAAAATAATCACTTCAAAATTTTACTTAAAATTCAAAACATCAAATATAATAATATGTAAAATATTAAATTACATTTTACTTTGCTGTCGTGTGTATTTTTTATTTGACTGCGCAACTTTGATCAATTCTTTGTGTTTAAGGAATAATTCTTTAATTTCAGTACAACATTGAGAAATATTGAAAAATATACAAAGTTCACTTCGAACTGATGGTACAAGCAGTCGGTTACGTTCGTCAGTCCACAAATTTCCCATGATGCTGAAAATTCGTTCAACGTTTGCATTTGATACCGGAATTGATGCACAATACTGGAACAGTTTCAATAAACTCGGAGCTGGCTCTTTCTTGAAAAACTACATCCATTTATCAAGGGGTGAATCACCCTGCAGATGAAGATAAACTTCTTCTAAGGCAGAAATTTCATCGAAGAGAGTGTTGGGTGGAAGTTCTTCTCGCCATGGTGATAATAACCAGATGTTCGTCATTTCTTCTAAAGTTGGAGGATTATTGCGATCAATTAGATTGAAACAACTTAGCGTCTCATATACTGAATCAGTGAAATTATACCACTTTTCTAGGTACACAATGGCTCTTTGATACATGTTAATGGCTTCTTTCTTGAACTTTTGCACGGCATTCAGGGGTGGGTTCTAAATTTTTTTACTACCGGTTCTGTGGGCGTGGCTTATTTTGCGGGTGTGGCTTGGAGGTCATGTGACTAGGTGGGCGTGGCTAGCTGGTCAGAGTCATTTCTGGAAGGTCCTTGCACTTACAACCAGTCCTCGCACTTACGACCCAACTCATTTGTTTGCTTTTAACAATGATCAGCTGTAGGGCGGCCCTTTGAAGCCCCGCGGCAAGAGTTTAAACAGTTTTTTTCCCTCTAGTCATCAGCTGGGACTCAGGAGGCAGCAATAGATTGGGGGTGGGAGCAAATAAAAGGTAAGAATAACGTGGGTGGGTGGGGGATGGGAGGGCGGGGGGGAGAACCAGTTCGGTGACATCATATCATCACCGCTACCGGCTCGGCCGAACCGGACCAAACCGGGAGGAACCCACCACTGATGGCATTCTCAGGCAAATGTTTTTTACGTAAGGCAAATAAAACTTTCATTCCAAAAAACTGCTCATCGTATTTTTTTTGCAAAGAATCATGCAGCTTACACATGATAACGTGAAGATCACATGCAAGAATTTTCTTGCTTTCCAGCTTCAGTAGGGTGTCTTGCATTATTGACATGAAGAAGTGCGTGAAATATAAATACAATTCTGAAATTGTTGGTTCATCGTCCTTTGCGAGTTCATTTTCCTGATCCGAAATAAGTTCCAGATAACCTTATGGCACTCATCAGATCCAAGAGAAATAAAATACGATTTTAGAGGTATCCAGTTTAAAAGAAGTCTTTCGACCGCTTTAAACAAATTTAACCAACGTATTGGAACATGGCGCAAAACTTCATGGAATTCTGACTCGCAAAACTTACGTACCATTTCATCATAAAGCTTTTGAATTAAAAAAATGTCCACTATTTTGTGAAAAAAAATAGTGAACATAAATGTGAAAAAAGCGGACTGTCTGCTCAAATAGTGGACACCTGGCAACCCTAACTGGAAATCACTGCAATTATTAAGGAAGCTGTGTGGTCTTTAAGCAAATCCATTCTTCTGAATAAGTGTTTTTTGGTCAGAAAATTGCAAAAAAAAATGGCACAAATTTCAGTTATGTAACTGTGTGACGCTGCAACGAGTTGTAAATGCGAGCTGATTGCTCAGTGGCTGAAGTGAGATTACGAGAGCAGGGGGGCAATATTCTGCAATGGTTGGAAGAGTTTTACAGGCTGTAAATGTCTGTGGAGATTCTCAGTCATCCAAGTCATGGTTGTCCCAAAGGTGCTTTTTTCAAGAGGCAACTGGACTTCCCTGTTTTTCTTTGAAGATATTTTATTTCTCATCCAAGGAGCTTCTTCAGTTCTCTGAAGCTTCTTCTCTTCTCTCTGAAGAGCTAAAAAAGCTTCTTGGATGAGAAGCAAAACATCTTCAAAGAAAAAACCAGAAAGTCCAGTTGCCTCTTGAAAAAGCACTTTTGGTACAGGCTCATTCCATAAAGCACTCGTTCCAAGGCCTACATAACTTCAAATGGCTGTAAAAATGACCAGTCATAGTCATGTCAAGACTACCTATAATTTCAACTCTCTAAGAGAGCATCAGCATTCATGGAACATACGTCCAAAAGGGTATGCCATTTCAGACACATTTTGCGTATGATATTCACCTTATTGAAGTGAAAAGCTGTAGAGTCCTTTAAGAAACCTAAATAAAAGGGAGGTGATATATCTAAAAATGGTCCCATATTGAGAGCTTCATATGGAAAAATGCTGGTTGAAGAGTTATAACATAGCTTGCCTCAACCACATGTACAAAATTCTGATGGATGGCTGTTTCAGACTGAAGTGTACCTCAACTTACTCTGAAATAATTATAAATTTGAGAGAACTTTGTCACTGGTTGCATTAAATCATCAAAAATGGAACTTGGGTCAATGTCAGAGATAAGGGAGTGAAAAATCTCAAAAAAGGACTGGATTTATTCACTGCATTTCGTCTTCAACTTCAGATTGCAGATGTTCCATGAACTCAAGAAAATCTATTTAATAAATTGAATCTAGGAAATATTAGTGTGCTAGTTATTACCTCCATGCAAATGAAAATAAAGGACTACCAACCAGTATTTTGTTTTACAGTGCGTATAGAACTGAACAATGAATTTAGTAATTTTATTTTCCATTATTAAAACAGCACCACAAATAAAGCAAATATATTTATATAATATTGATGCTTCGTTGTATAGAATTGAAATATTTTCCCTCTTATGAAATCTTTCCTCTTTTGTTAGAGTTCAAAGCCAGGCATATATCTATTCTTCACTCATTAAATACACATTTTAAAAATGTAGAGATGAAAAAATTACAACTCTGGTCTCACAACTATGAGAATGTTGCTAGCTGGAGGATATTGGATCTCCCCTCATAGGCGTGTTTTATCTCCATCATTAATTACAGAAATCTGGCTCATTCCCAAATATCTGGCAAGGGTTATACACCCATATTTGCCCAACTTAGTCTTCTAAGCAGCTTTTGATAGCATCGACTATGGTATTCTTCTCGATCAACAGAGGATCAGGGGTGGACAGCATAATGCTGTGCTGGTTCATCTCCTTTCTTCAAGGTCAATTCTAGTTGCTGGTGATTGGGGAAGAATGATCACATCTGTTGTGCCAGATTCGAACTATGGCTTGGAATGCATGTATACTGAGTCATCAGGGCCGGGATCAACATATTCTTGGTTCCTACTATGTGGAGTGCCACAAGATAGGTGCTTTTTCCATTCCTATGACAGAATGGGACAACTTGCTACGGCCAACTTGCCATGGCAACTCACTGCAGCCATTTCACCATGGGCCAACTTGCTGTATGAAAAATTTAACAATTATATTTAATTATTTAAAATAAATAAAAGATTATTTTAATTTTTGCCATGGATATTTCATTCTGCCCCTCCTTTTGCATCCTTTTTTTTAAAGATTCTATTCTACCATTTCTTTGATATTAGTTTAACTCGTGTCCCTCAGAGAGTTGTCCTCTGGCTGCGGTAAATTGTCATAGATCGACCCTTCCAATGTGGCCATTGAATGACCTCATCCATCACCATGGGTTGAGACACCATCAGTTCATTAGATAAAACCTGTTTCTACTTAATTCCAATCAAGGAGTAATAAAAGTGGTGAGAAAGAGAATAGCCAGAACCATTAGGGTAATGTGACTTGCCTTATAGCAATAGCACTTAGACTTACTGTATTTTTCGGAGTATAAGACACACCTTTTTCTCCCAAAAAAGAGGGTGAAAATCTGGGTGCGTCTTATACTCTGAATGTAGCCCCGCCCAGCCTCACAAACGGAGATTTCAGAGGCTGAAAGAAGCCTCTGAAAGAAGCTTCAGAAAAAAAAGCCTCAGAAATATGGCAAGCAACAAAAGAAGGCTCAGTCAAGGTTCTAACCAAACTATGTTAACAAATCTGAAGAATGACACAATAATCAACAGATCAGAAGAGGTTAATCTACATACCAATACCAAAGAAAGGAGATTGAACAGATAGTCATTCAGAAAAAAAGCCTCTGAAAGAAGCTTCAGAAAAAAAGCCCTTTTTTCTGAAGCTCTGTTTCGGAGGCTTTCAAAAGCAGGGAAAAAAAGTTTTTTCTGAAACAGAGTTTCAGAAGTTTCAGAGGCAGAAAAAAAGGCAAGGCACAGAGCTCACAACCAAGGAACCTGTTGCTAAAATTCACCTCTGGGAACAGTTGATTGGGGTATTCTGGGAGGCCAATCCACCCACCAATCAGCTTTTTTCTTATTTTCCTCCCCAAAAATTAAGGTGCGTTTTATACTCCGGTGCATCTTATACTCCAAAAAATATCATTTCACAGTGCATTACAACTCTCTCAAACAGTTTACAGAAACAATATATTGTCACAACAAATTCTATTTCTCCTTGTTGCAAAATTCTGGACACATCTTCATATCAGATAAGCTAAACTAAACTAAACTAATTACATTTTCTACAATCTCATTAAATTCTCTGCTGTTAATGGAATTGGCGAACTATTAGGCGCTCAAGGGCCCTTTTCACTTCTTTGTTTCTAAGGCTATAAATCAAGGGATTTAGCATAGGAGTAATCATCCCATAGAGCATGCTCACTAGCCTATCCTGGTCTGGATGGTAACTGGAGGAAGGTCTTATGTACGTAAAGATGGTGGTTCCATAGAAAAGACAAACCACTATTAAGTGGGACGCGCAGGTAGAAAAGGCCTTACGTTTTCCCTCGGCAGAACGGATCCTCAGAATGGTGGCAATGATGTGAGTGTAGGAAATCAAGGTGATTAGAAAAGCCCCTACACCAAATATGCCACCAACGATGAGGACAACCATCTCGGCCACATAGGTGGAAGCGCAAGATAAGGCCAAGACGGGTGGGATGTCGCAATAATATTGGTTGATTCTATTGGAGTTGCAGTAAGGTAGAATGAAAGTAAAGGTTGTATGCAACAATGAATTGAGAAAGCCAGTGACCCACGTCCCTGCAGTCATCTGAAGGCAAAGCTTCTTGTTCATGATGACCGTGTACCGCAAAGGGTTACATATGGCCACATAGCGGTCATAGGCCATGACGGCCAAGAGGAAGACCTCAGTCCCTGCCAGGGCCACCAGGAAGTAGAGTTGTAGCATACAGCCAGCAAAGGAGATGGAACTGCATTCTGTCAAGAGGTTCTCCAGCATCTTGGGCACTGTAGCTGTGGGGCAGAAGATGTCCAGCAAGGAAAGATTACTGAGGAAGAAATACATGGGGTTGTGCAACTGAGAATTAGTTCCTATGGCAAGGAGGATGGTGCCGTTGCCCAGGAGTGTGACTAGATAGATAAGCAAAATGATGACAAACAGGGAGAAGCGGACAGCTGGGAGGTCTGAAAGTCCCATTAAAATAAATTCTGTCACTTGTGTCCTGTTCTCCGGTCCTTGGCTCATAGGGGAGCATTCTCCCTGTAAGGGAGGAAAAATATGTATAAAACATGTGAAAAAGTAGGAGACACAGACAATAGAAAGCCATGGTATATTTCTGTTCCAAGAATGGAATACTGCCTTTTATTTATTTTACAGAAAATGGGCTATTTCCCAATCAGGTCCTTCCCAGATGGTCCCAATGTCTACAGTTGACAATATTACCTAGATATTAGAAAGCAGAAAGTAGAATAGATGCAAAATGTAGTAATTTAAAGCATTAAACTCTTTCTTCCAGGGACAGAGTTATTAGCTCATATGAGTATAACAGTCCTTGCTTGGGACCACAATCCGTCTTTCAGGAACAAAATCCATCTTGACCTATAGGTTTCCATATCAACGGCCTTAAACCTATTTGCAGTAAGAGACCAAACACAAAAGAAATTACATTTTAAAGTTAAATTGGAAAGACTCCACTTCATGGGAAGTGGGCACTGAACTAATGAATTCTTTCTGTGCCTTAGGAAAATAACAACCTTTCATTTTGACATGTTTAATCTGAGGGAATTAAGGGAAGTTCTTTGTTAAATGTATAAAACCCTGCATTAAAAGCATCAGATAGCCCTGGAGTCTTAGGTAATTCAGGTGGCAACCACTGATTCCTCTACATCTTGGTCTATTAAATCCCATCCCAATATGTTCTGATAGGGGTTTTAGTTCAGTTTGTTGCAAAATCATTCAAATTTTCATTTGGGAGCATTACATAATTTAGAAAAAAATAAAAAATAAAGTGTTTTTGCTCGCTTTATTTGAGAGGAATCTTAATTTCCACATTTAGCCAGAAGAAGAAGAAGGAGGAGAAGGAGAAGGAGAAGGAGAAGGAGAGGAGGAGGAGGAGGAGGAGGAGGAGGAGGAGGAGGAGGAGGAGGAGGAGGAGGAGGAAGGAGGAGAGAGGAGGGAAGAAGAAGAAGAAGAAGAAGAAGAAGAAGAAGAAGAAGAAGAAGAAGAAGAAGAAGAAGAAGAAGAAGAAGTTTATTGTCATTGTACGTGTATACACAGTATACCCTTATGAAATTCACTTAACACCCAACGACCAGGTCCAACACACATAACAATCCCCAAACACTCTCCCACTCACCACAATTCCCCACCCCTAAACCACCCAAACATCCACACAACAGACCAAGTAATACTGTCCAACAGCTCAGTGATGGTGGCCCTTTAGTTTATTGTTTTTAATATATATTATTATATTCATCATGTTTGTTTGCAGGTGTTAACAACTAAATCATAATCTTATCCATTTCTGATCAACCCAATTGTTTTATTTTTTTTCCTCCTCCAAACATTGGAGGAACCTGTAACCTTCGATCCATTATTATGAATTAATTATTTCAGTTCTGAGCAAGTTGTCAAGTTGTTTCAATGTGTACTGGCATCTTACTCACGAACTCACCCGTTTTGTGGGTATACACATACATACACCATGCATTTCCTTAACTGGTGTTTCTGAATCAGAAAGTCCCAAAGCTATCTCAAGCGGAGGGAATTTTTTCAAAGCTTTCAAATGTCAATTTTTTTTTTTCAAATGTGTGTGTCTGTGTGTGTGTGCTTATGTGTGTATGTGTGTGTATGTGTGTGTTATACATGGTATGTGGAAGATGCAAATATATAACGAATGAGAATGCTACATTAAAAAATGTAATGTCTGAAAAGGTAGAAGGACTTTGGTATCATATGATGGCCATCAGGTTAGTGGACTCACGAAGAGGATTTGGCAAACAGATGGAGGAAAAGGCTATCACAGCTACTAAATATGAGTGTTCTCTGTTACATTTCGCAGTTTTGGGGGGCAGATGAGAATAGAGCTATAATGCTCTTATCATGCTTGAGGAGCTTCTCAAAGGTTTCCAGCTAATCAACTGCAAAAACAAAAGATTGTGCTATATAGACGTTGGTCCATTTCAGTGCTGTTCTTCTTCTATTTTGGATTCTGGTGGAGATGCTTGGGTCTCCGGGCATTTTTTTTAGATCCTTCCTTGAACCTCTTCTGTTCCTGGTATTCCTACTAGGTTTGGTTGGTCATAGCTGGACTAAATCCTAGCTGCCCCAATTCCTTTCTTCCTTCTTCTCCTTCAGTCCTGGCCCTCACAATGCTTCCATAAAATTAATCTCTCCCAGTACTCACTGTCGATCGCTGCTGTATTTCCATCTTCTTAACCCCAAAAGCCTAAGAAATTTTTCCATGTGCTCTGAAAACACACAAGAGGGAGGCTTGTCCTTTTTGTCACCAGCCAAATTTCCTCTGTGAAGTCTGCAGTACAGTGGGAATTACTGGGGTTGGGGAATTGGAAGCTCTAAGGATTTGGCAGCAATGTTGTCTTTTCTAGCATATAATACTAACCAAAGAACTATTTCTCGGAGCAGTGAGGGAAGGATGATATTCTCAGTTGTGTTGTTATTCCTCCCATGGCAAATTGCTGCAACAGAGGAGAAAGTAAAGCAAATCTTTAATGAGACACAGTTGAATGTATAAGTAGCTGGATCTTGTCATGAGCTAAGCCAGCCCTGCCCAAACTGTATCCTTCATTGCCCAAAACCACTTATCAAAAAGTCTTATCAAACTTTGAGGCCCAGTAGAAAGTTGTTTCCTTCAGCACCGTCATAATTTTGAACAGTTGCTAAACGAACTATCGTAACTGGAGGACTCCCCACATTATAAAAACTATATCACGGAATGATTTTTTAAAATGTCATCTTAACAAATTGCGATTGATAATATTTTGGGAGATCTTTGAATATATTTTAGCACAGGGGGCAATTTAAATTTAATTTGAATTTTTTTTTATTTTATTTAAATTTTAAATTGAAATTAAAATCAATTTAAATTTCCTTGTTGTGACGGGTAGTTGATTCCGGTGTCTTTACCCAAAAGAACGGCACACATTTATCCAATTTGGATAATTCCCCTACATTTAGAAGGCACGGCGCTGGCTAAACTATGATTCCTAGTTTATAAACCTCATGGTTTGTACTGTACATGGTTAAAACCATGAGTTTTAAAAGCCATGAAGGGCCCCAATTCAAGATGAGGCCTTATTTTGGTTTCCAATAGCTGCATTACTTTGCTACTGAAAACATTTATCTGGTACTGGACTACAAGTGGGGAGATCCACATTCTATTCCCCCCACACAAACACAATGGTAGCTTCCTGTAGCTGGGCCAGTCCATTTCCCTCAGACTCTCAGGGCCAAGATGATTCAGTGGCGAAGGTGTTGAGGGGAGAATGGATAAATCCAAATTCTAGTCCCCCCTCAACAATGGAAGATTCTTGTGACTGGGCCAGTCCATTTCGGTCAGACAAAGGGGCAAGTTGGTCCTGTAGTAAAGATGCTGCTCTAGAAACTAAGAGATCCAAGTTCTAGTTTCTCCCCCCACCCCCACCCCTCAACAATGGAAGCTTTCTGTAACTGGGACAGTCCATTTCTCTCAGACTCGCAGGGGCAAGATGATTGAGTGGTGAAGGTTTTGGACAGAAAAATGGACAAATCCAAATTCTAGTCCCCCCTCAACAAGGAAAGCTAATTGTGACTGGGCCAATCCATTTCTGTCAGACAAAGGGGCAAGTTGGTCCAGTGGTGAAGATGCTGCACTAGAAGCTACAAGATCCAAGTTCTAGTTTCTTTCTCCCCCCCCCCCCCCGCCACCAGCAATGGAAGCTTCCTGTAACTGGGCCAGTCCATTTCTCTCAGACTCTCAGGGGCAAGATGCTTCAGTGGTAAAGGTGCTGCCCTAGAAGTTGAGAGGTCCATGTTCTAGTCCCCCGCCTCAACAATGGAACTTCTTGGATGACTGGGCCAGTCCATTTCTCTCAGCCTGGTGGGGGGGGTGGTGGTTCACTGGTGAAATTAGTCCCAGAGACTTTTTAATTTAAATTTAGACTTTATTTTATTTTCAACCTTGAATTACACAGCCGCAGCAATCAAGAGACTTTCGAAGAATACATTGAGGAATGCTGTACTCACACACAAGCTCCAAAGTCCATCTGCATCATTTTCAAAGTATGCACAGCCCTGATTTTAAGCTACATTAACAGGAAAGCTTTAAAAAGGAAGAAATGTTCTCAACCATTCGTTTAGTGACCATTTGAAATTATAATGGTATTGACTTAGGACCATTTTTCACACTTAAAAACATTGCAGCACCCCCACGGTCCCATGATCAAAATTCAGATGCTTGGCAACTGACTCACATTATGACGGTTGCAGTGTCCCAGAGTCATGTGATTACCTTTCGCAACCATCTGGCTAATAAAGTTCACGGGGAAGCCAGATTCACTTCACAAATTTTGCTGGACCCACCCTTTCCACCACCTCAGTACTACAGTTATTTAGGATTTATCAGTTTTTTCAAGGCTCCTTTCACCTCCTTGTTTCTAAGGCTATAGATTAAGGGGTTCAGCATTGGGGTAATCACCCCATACAACATGCTCACCAGCCTGTCCTGGTCTGGATGGTGGCTTGAAGAAGGCCTGGCATAAGTGAAGATCGTAGTCCCATAGAAAAGACAGACTACTATTAGATGAGAAGCACAAGTGGAAAACGCCTTGCGCTTCCCTTCCGCAGAACGGATCCTCAAAATCGAGGAGATGATATGAACATAAGAGATCAGAGTGACCAGAAATGCCCCCACTCCGAAAATTCCCCCAAAGATAAGGACAACCATCTCAGCCGCATAGGTGGAAGCACATGCTAAAGCCAACACGGGTGGGATGTCACAATAATATTGGTTGACTTTATTTACTTGGCAGTAAGGAAGTGTGAAGGTCATTACAGTGTGTAACAATGAATTAAGGAAGCCGGTGACCCATGTGCCTGAAGCCATCTGAAGGCAAAGCTTCTTGTTCATGATGACCGTGTATCGCAAAGGGTTGCATACGGCCACGTAGCGGTCATAGGCCATGACAGCCAAAAGGAAGACCTCAGTCCCTGCCAGGGCCACCAGGAAGTAGAGTTGTAGCACACAGCCAGCAAAAGAAATGGAACTGTTTTCTGTCAAGAGGTTCTCCAGCATCTTGGGCACTGTAGCTGTAGGGCAGAAGATGTCCAGCAAGGAAAGATTACTGAGGAAGAAATACATGGGGTTGTGCAACTGAGAATTAGTTCCTATGGCAAGGAGGATGGTGCCGTTGCCCAGGAGTGTGACTAGATAGATAAGCAGAAAGGCCACAAACAAGGAGAAGCGGATGGCTGGGAGGTCCGAAAGTCCAGTTAGGATGAATTCCGTCACTGCGGTGACATTCTCCACTTGTCTGCCCATCTCAGAGCTCTCCTAAAAGAGGTTGAAGATAGATATGACATCCTAACGCATAGAGAACACATAGGAAATTTTTTTGCAATGATACTTACATGACACCACAGTTCAAAAAAGAAACCAGGTTTTCCAGCAACTTCTAAGGAGGTTATCTACTTCCAATTGCCATTCAGTAGGATCAAACAGTATGATATGGTAAACATGATAGCTACAACCTCAATTTACAGGCATACCTGTCCAATGTTGGGATTTTAGAAATGTTCAAATAGCTAGACCTTCAACTTTATCATCTAAATTAATTTCTGTAGTCTTCCTCAAGACACTTCCTATCAGAAATGGTGGCTCTTTTGCATTCCATCTCTAAAATGTGAATTGGCTCTCAGGAATATCTCTCTCTCTCTCTCTCTCTCTCTCTCTCTCTCTCTCTCTCTCTCTCTCTCTCTCTCTCTCTCACTCTCACTCTCACTCTCTCCCTCCCCTGCCCCTTAGCCTCCCCCTCTCTCTCCCTCTCGTTCTCATTCTCAGGGATATCTGAGAATTTAGGTGGCTTGTTGTCCCAATGTCTTGCTTTTTCAAGAGGCAACTGGACTTTCTGGTTTTTCTTTCAAGACATTTTGCTTCTCACCCTAGAAGCTTCTTCAGCTCTGATTGATAGTGGGGAATGGAAGGATTTATACTCTTTGCAGACAGCTGGTCATTTGCATTCTTTAGAGAGTCATTGTGGCCACCTGGAGGTTTATCTGAATCCTCAGGGTCACTTGAGTACTGCCATTTTCACACCCATTTGCACCACTCAGGTGACCCTGACGATACAGATAAATCTCCAGGTGGCCTTAACAACTCCCTAAAAGAATGCAAATGACCAGCTGTCTACAAGGAGTATAAATCCTTCCATTCCCCACCATCCAGTCAGAGCTGAAGAAGCTTCTTGGATGAGAAGCAAAATGTCTTCAAAAGAAAAAAACCAGAAAGTCCAGTTGCCTCTTGAAAAAGCAACTTTGGAACAATCACAACCTGGATGACTGAGAATCTCCATAGGTAGCTTGTTATATTTTAAAATTACTTTGTCAAGCTAATAGTTTCTAGATGGGATATCCCATCTCCTATTCTTTTCCTGCAATAATAATAATAATAATAATAATAATAATAATAATAATAATAATAATAATACCCAAAGCAATACCCAAAGGGCTACCCCGCTATTTAGAAATTCTAAAATTGCCGGACTTGAACATTTTGACTCTACAAAAAACCACCTTACTCGGAACAGCTTACATCCTCCGACGATACCTTAACAGTTCCTAGGTCCTTGGTTAGGACTCGAGCTGCTGAGCTATTAACCAGCCTCAAAGGCTGTGAATCTCACTAAAGATTAACCAATAATAATAGTAATAATAATAACAACAACAACAACAACAACAACGAGACTTGTGATATTTTAAGTCAAATAGATTTATCATGACCTTCGCTTTTGTGGGTTACAGTCCCACTCATTACAGCTAACAGAATAATGAATCAGTGTATCTCTCTCCTTTCTAGACAAACACAAATATGCATGCATACACACAAACACTCTCCCCACCCTTGTCTAATCCATTGTGACATTATCCAAATAAACTATATTCCCTTTCCGTTCAAGAGTTGCATGCAGTGGAAAATTGTTTCAACATCTGATGCCAAAACCTACAATGTGAAGCCTCCAAAAACATTATAGAGAGAAAGGAAGAATGTCTTATATCTAAGCAGAGTTATCGCCTATTCTGTTGTTTTGGTCTTTGATGATAAGGACGTTCTTGATTTTAAAATGTTAATAAATCACTCCTCTCTGACAGTTCTCCCCACCTTATGTCGTCACCTGATGTTAAATTCCAGTCCCATTTCTGTATCTCCAGTTCCTATAACCACCAGCCTTTGTGCATCTCAGCCAGAGATTATAGGGGCTGAAAGAAAATGACTTGGAAGTATTATACAATGGAGAACCTCTCTAACAATTGTAGCCAATAGCAGGCACTTTCCTGTTGTAAAAGCTGTTTTTTTCACATTCATTCTTCCATTGTCTGGCTGAATCCACTGCGAATCAGTTTAATTTCATGATTCTAATCAACATGGGAATATTTTCGTTAAATTCAGCTACTGCTTTGATATTTCCATACCGAATTATCTTTTCTTGGTAATCACTCTCAAAGTGTCTTTATTTGCGGAGTTTTAGGGTTCCAAGTAAGACCCCCAAGGAAAGAAGTGATCTGCAACCTTTTGAGGAGCAGATTTTTATGGGCCATTGGCTTCCAAAGCTACCTCTGAAAAGCGCTTTGATCAAACCACTCTCTGATTCTGATCACTGTTGACAATTGTCCTGCTGGGGTTGTACAGCAGTGATGGGTTGTTCCCAGTTCGGACCAGTTCTATAGAACCAGTAGTAAAACCTGCGGGAGGCTCCGCCCACTGATCCCGACCTCATTAGGAAGGGACACGCGCAAGAGCAAAGCGAGCAAGCGAGCACGGCCCCATTGCAAACCAGTATTAAAGGTAAGTATAACCCACCCCTGTTGTACAGTCCTATCAGTCATAAAGGAATCAATGTCACATCACTGAACATCAGACTCAAAAATCTCTGAAGCTAAGTCCATTCATTTTTACCCTGTTACTTCGCACCACAGCTGTACAAATATTGTTAAAATCTGGGGATTAGTATTTCAAAGCTGAAGTAAGTTTTGACAAAAA